AATGACCCAGAGGTCTGGTCATGAAATTAGATCTCAAGAATATCGGAAAAAGAGTTGAAGATTTATGCATGCAGTTATTCATGTGAACTTTTCTTCACAGTGATTATACTCTTATGGTCAGCAGAAACAAAAATTGTAGACCAGATTTTGTAGTTTGTGTATTTCAGGTATCGCTCTGCGCATTCATCTAGTCTGCTGTATTTCAACAAATAGCTCTGCTTTCACCACTTCAAAAGTGACACAAGTGCTTACACATGACTGCATTCATCTTCAAGATGGGTTTTCTTATTCTATCCAGGAAACTGCACACAGAGTGGTTGGGTAATGAGTTCAAAGCCACACAGCAAGTGGGTGAACTGGGCCGCACTCGGCCCCAGGGGGTCTGGATTCAGAACCTGCCCTCACAATACCATGGCACATTTGTAGATGGGTCTGAAACATATCATCAAGTACTCTGATTGGCCTGTTAGCCAGATCAATATTTTTAGCATGTGACTAGAAAGGGAAAGACTTTGAGACAGAGATCGTAAGATTAAGTACAACCTCAACACTTAAAAGACACCAGGCCTACAGAGAATTCTCACTGCACTCTCTATGTGTCAAAGCCTGAAATTTCCATGACCCAGTCCTGACCCTCTCTGCTCTGTCAAATAAAAAGGGGGACAAAACTCATGCACTGGAATGTTAGTGTTTAGCTTTTAATATGCAAGCTAAGGATGAAAATAATTGATCCGTTGAGCTATTAAGATGGTTTCATATTTTTACATTACTTTAACTCTACTTTTCATTTTCATGGAAAGTACAGTGGTAACAGGAGGTGAATTTCAATTCATTCAGTTAATGCCATCAACTTCGGGCTCCCATGTCTCAGGCCTCTGGGTCCCCAGATCCCAGCTGATCCTTGGGTTCTGTGTGGCACAGCAGGTGGGTGGGAGCATGTGACATTGCTGTTTAGAGGGCCTTACAGCATTGAGCCTAGGATGCCATGTAATTCAGCCTGGGCCAATGACCTGTGTTCCCTTGCAGACACATAAGCCAGTGAGGCGACATTACACTTGGGGCTGCAGTTGCGCAATTCCAGCAGCCAGAGCTCAGAGGAAAGGCCTCCTCCTCTAGGGACATCCCTTACGCCTACCAGCAACTGTGTCCTCCAGAACGATCTGTCCACTGCCTTTCTGTCCCTGGACACCCTGGGCTCTGCGTGGCTCCTGATAGACAGGTATGCATCACAGCTACTCCCCGTATCCCACTCACCACCATTCAGAAAGCGGGGATCAGCACTGAGAGAACGCTCATGGAAATGTCACCCTTTCCACTGGCATCTTCAGGGCGACACGAAGAAGATTTGGGTTTCCTCCGTCACGACCGACTCTGGGTTCCTGGCTTCAAATCCCCCTGTAGCATAGCTGACTTGGAAACAAGTTAGTTGTGGTCATGCCCAAGGACCACAAAGTGGGACTGGTGACAGCTCCCAGCCATCACCTATGTCCATGGCCACTCCACTGTCATTGGCCACTGCCATTCCCAGGACCTGCACTGACCTGCATTCTCTGCTGACCTAGACACTGCAGACAGGAGAATGACTCCCTAAAGCCACAGAGCCACCCTGTCCTTCTCCCCTCACCTGTTCCTCATTTCCTAAAAGGGACTAGTTAAACGTGGACTTGGGATGCTCCCTGTCCTCTGCCTTCACCCCCACTCTGTCCCTTAGAGACCTGGTGCCCAGCCTGGGAGCTGGCCTATCATGTTTGGAAACGATTCAGACATCCCAAGCTCTCTCTTTTGGCTTTGCCTGCCCTCACTCCTGCTCTCTGCAAAGCCATCTGCAAACCTCATGATCTCCAGGGCTGTCTAGGAGGCCACCATGCTTTGGAGTGGCTGCCTGGCCCAGAGTGCATGGGTTTCCACCCTCTCTGTGAAGACCAATGTCTGCAACTCTGCTGGGAGCCAAATGGTGGGGCCAGGGCTGGCACTGTGGAGAACCCCATCTGTGTGGAGCAGAAATCCATGTGTGCAGTGGGGACCATACTGCAGTTCCCAGGCTGCAGGTGACACAACCCAAGACCTCAGGGGAGGCCTGTGATCGTGGGGATGGCCACACAACTCCTCATTTCACAACCTACTTGTTTGACAACTGTTCGGATTTAGGGCCCATCATTGTGTACATGTGTGTGTGCAGTTCTGTGTATTTGTTTTGATAGAACCTCAGGGTCTTTTTTTTTTTTTGGCACAGCACACCTTGTTTGTACAGTACTGTAATTTCTGCTGATTATACAGTATTGTAGTTTTATGTTCTATCATACAGCACAGTGCTGCAGGTAAAGAGTTGTACAATAACAGCAAAGTCATCAGGAGGGGAGTTCCTTTGACCGTTTCTTTGTTCTGAGTGTTGTAATGTACATAGCACATACAACTCCTCATTAATGACCAACTCACTTAACCACCAGGGGCAGGATTGGAACTTGGGCTTCAAACAAGGAACCTCTGTCTGGTTTTACCTAAGCCTATGTGGCTATGACAAACTCTCCCTTTTCGCTTAATGTGACACTTGGGGCTTCTCTCCTGCCTATCTGAATTGTGACTGTCATTGTTTGACAACTTTGAAGCCATTATTAGATAAAATAAGGGTTACTGGACAGGAGCCTTGGGATACAACAGTTGATCATATAACCAAGATAGTGACTGAGTAGGAGGCAGGTGGTGTGTATAGTGTGGACACAACAGACAAAGGAATCATTGGGGCTCTGTTCTAGGTGGGTCAGTGAGAGGTTTCACTATGACCCTGGGGCAGCTGCCACTTAAAACCACAGCCTGGTCATTCCTGGAAGGAGACCCCAATGCTTCTTGCTTTGTGATTTCTCTGCTGCCAGCTTCAGCCTCAGGAGTGTAGAGGCCTCGTGTTGGTTAAGATGTTCCATTGTCCCAGCAGCTAAACACCAAGTCAAGCTTAGGGCACCACATGCTACAGGACTGCGTGTAGCCCCAAGCCACCATGGGGGACATTTCCATGAGCGTTCACCTTTGCTCTTTCAGGGCTGATCCCCACTTTTAGGAGTCAAAGTTGCATTTGGACTCTGGGCCCAGGGAGATGCTGATGACGTGCCGTAAATTCTGTGAATAAAGTAGAGTTTGGCGCATGCTGCTAATTACCTATTTTTGTAAGCTCTGTAAAGTTTAGTGAGTACACAGCCACGCCACTCATGTACATATTGCTCCTGGCTGCTTCCTTGCTATGTGGGCAGAGATGAATAGTTCTGACTGACACTGGATGGCCTAGAACTTGACAGTAAAATTTGCTGGCCTCCTGGGTTAGATTCCTCAGGATTAGAGAACTGTTTAAGGTTACACAGGTCAAGGGTGGTTATTAAAGAATGAAGCAATGCTGAAGCAGGTGTAAGCATACACAGATGCAAAACCAAAAGCACCACCAAGTGGGATTTGGACATGGGAAGACTTCATGGCAGTGTCAGGTCTGGCCTGCTGTACACAGTGATCTCCCACCACTGCCACATGCCCAGGACCCAGAGGGTTCTGTGGCCGATTTCTGCCCCACCTGTCAGACACTCGATACCTCTGCAAACATAGAAAGCTCTCCCTGAACCTTTTATTAGACCAGTGTATCCTTGAATCCAAGAACTTGACAAGGAAACAGAAAAACTACAGGTCCATCTCGTGTATGAATTTAGAGGCAAATGGCCTATAAAGCATTAGCAAATGGAATCCAGCAATTTATTGAATGCCCCTCGATACCCACTCAAAATTAGTAACTTTTTTTTTTTGATACAAGGTCCTGCTATGCAGTCTAGGTTGACCTTGAATTTACTGGGTAGCTCAGGACAGGCTCCAACCTGCCATCCTGCTGTCTCAGCCTTAGCAAGTACTGGGATTATAGGCGTGCATCACTGTGCATGGTTTAAAATCAGTGACTTTTAACACTCTAAATCCATGGACTTGGCAAAAACTTTGGTGAGTCTAAATTATCTACCAGAAATCAGAAGAAACTATACTTAATCCTAACACATTGTGTTAAAGACTGCAATTAAATTATATTTGAATAAATACATAATATACATGAGTATCTTTAAGTTTTGCATATTGGTGCCTCCCTTCTGCTCCCTTAGTGGTACACACTGGAGGCCAGGATTAGAACTCAGCTCCAGCTATGGATGCTGGTAGGACTCAGCTAGGTCTGTGACACCCACATTCCTGTTGTCTTGGGTGGAGCAAGGAGTTGGTGGCACAAGTCTCCTGCAAATACCCAATACTCAGGCTCTGTGTGAAGCCTGCAGGGCAGCTGGGCCCTGTTCTGCCGGCAGAGCCTGGCAGTGTCACAGAAATCCCAGCCTGTGGAGGACCCTGCTGCATGGAGGCACGGGCATCCATGCTTGAAATTTACTTTCCTGTTCTGATTCAGAAAGTGGTACGTGACTGACTTTGCGTGCAGCTGGAAAGACCTGACGGCCTGGGCATCCATGCTCGAGAGGTTTACTTTCCCGTTCTGATTCAGAAAGTGGTATGCAACTGACTTTGTGTGCAGCGGGAAAGACCTGACCGCACAGGCAACAGCGAGAGCTAGAACAATGGGCTGGGAAGAGAAGAAAAGAGCCCTTCTGACGCAGCCTTCCTTCCCTTCCTCGGGCCTTTCAGCTGCACAAAAGGAGACATATTTTCCATATAATTGCTAAACATGTTTGCTTATTAAATTATTCTTTAATTAGTTAATGATTTTAGCCATGCTTTGCTCTTCGGATATTCATTTTGTGTAATAAAATAATTATAGATAATTAAACTATCTCAAGCCTTTTTCTTTCCCCCAGCAAACATTCTGGGTATCCAAAAATGACAACAAGTTGTAAATTAATCTGGAAAACAAAGCATGACAGATGAATGATTTGGTTGGAATTAATTAGGCACTAATTATATACTGGAACTAGATGAAGAATGAGACTCATTATAAACATGAAGCACTGCCCTGAGAGACTCGCTCCCCACACCCTTACCTTCTGTAGCAATGGAGTTTCTCCGGATCCAAGTCAGGGCCTTCATGCAGTCATCCTCATCATTGAGTGTGAACAGATTGCAGGGTACTTGTCCCGAGTAATGCATCTTGCTGCTGGTGGGGATCTCTCGGTTTGTGGGGTGCTGGCTGATGTCAGCGCCTGTCGGACATGGGACCTGTGGAAGGTCACAGAGGACGCTGGGCTCAGTGGTCACAGGGGAAGCTCTGATACAGTTTTTAAAAAAGACAAAGGGTATGCACAGCAATGTGCACTGCAGGTGTGTCTGTCTCTGTCCCCAGAGTCCCCGAATCAGGTGTCCTTGGAGGAAGGCGGAACGATCACTTAGAGACCATTGCCTAATGGACTCGATTTGTTTCCCTGATGCTGGGTAAAACGTTATCCCAGAATTGAGTGGAATAGAGTGGCCGTGTGCTGGGCTCACAGATTCTGTAGGTTAGTAATTCAGACAGCTGCAAGTTTGGGGACAGTTTGTTTCTGTTCCTCAGGGTCTGGGAAGCAAAGGCTGAGAGCGATCTGACAGTCAGACAGTGAACTGTCTGCAGATCAGCGACCTCAGCCTTTTCTTTCCCCTGGAGGATGTGCTGAGCATCTGAAGTTCAGCGAGATGCCCTTTTCTCACCAGCAGGCCATGCTGGTTGTGGTCTGAGACCCCTCACATATGGCCTCTCCTGTGGGGCCACAGCTTCTTGATCACATGGTGGCTAGGCTGGGAGGAGCAGGGTAAATATCCCAACAGAGAGCCAGCTATGACTCTCCGACCTCATCCTGGAAGCTGCATGGTGCCTCGACCACCAGGTTCCATCACAGAGGTGGCTGCAGAGCTCTGCCTGGAACGGGGGCATTAGACCATAGCACGGAAGCAGCCACAGATCTGGAGTCTCCGTGGCCACATTCAGTGACAACAAACCGGCCACAGAAGTGCCACCTTGGGATGAGATTCAAGCATGCAGAGGAGCAGGCAAGAAAATGCCAGAGGATAGAGCATTATTTACTTATGGAATTACAAACTCGTTTTTCACTGTCAGAAAAATGTTCTCTCCCTCCCCACACAGAGTCCTTCCAAGTGTGGCTTCTCCTTTCTTTTGACTCAGACATGACAGAAAGTTTCCTTTTCTTTTCTTATAAGGAAAGCAGCAGTGGTGTCACAGGTCAGGATGCTGACTGGCCCTTGTCCCCTGTGTCAAGGACACTGCAACAATCCAGACAACCTGTGTCCTGGCCAATGAGTCCTGCGAAGAGCCTGAGCCCAGGATGGCCCAGAAATGTCAGGTCCTCAGGTTTTTATAGCATCATGTGACTTCCTATTGTCTTGGTTCAGATGAAAATCAGACACCATCAGGAAAGCCAAGTGACAGCACAATGGCCACTGGGCCACTTCAGTACCCTTCAATTTGCCATCAACAATGGGATTTGGAAGCAGATGAGTTGCGCACAAAGAGTGAGACAGGCCACTGGAGGCCTGGATGGAGGAGGCCTGGGGTCTGCCAGACAGGCAGGGTTCCAGCACCAGGTTGACAAACATCCTGTTGCATAAGTGACCTGGGCTTCAGCTCATTCAGTCTCCCCACCTGCTCAAGTGGGGACAAAGATGCCACCAACCCTGGTGTGAGAGTGGGGTTACACCAGGAAAGACACAGTTAGCTCACGGTTAACACTCAGTGCCACTTGGTACCTTTGTGGCCCCGATGAGAATAACGAGGACAGCGTGAACCTGGCTGCTGTTCCTCGGAGCAGACTTTCAGACGAGTGTCTGTGACCCATCCTGGCACACATCACATCTTGAAGTAATGGGCCCATGATGTCTGCATGGTCATCATGAATTCTGGTCTTTGCTCTTTCTCCAGTTTTACTTTGCCGAGTGTTAATGCAGCTGCTTTTTCTCATAGAGTGTGAGTTTGTCTGACAGAGCCTTTTACTGTGTGCTTTTAACTATCTGTCTATTCTTAAATTTTTGGCATCATTTTGATTGGGTATTTCTCTTGCATTTTTATTTTAGTGTAAAAACAGCTTTATGTGAAATTATGACATTCACTATTGTGGCTTGTGTTTTTTTCCTTTATCATTGTCTTAAGTAGGGACTCCCAAACATTATATTTCAGCATTGACTCATTTATATTTGGAGGAAAAAGGTTAAAGAATACTTTGAGAGAAGTATAACAAATTCACCATCCAAACACCAAGATAAAAGGGGAAAACAAGGATTAGAAGTGAAAGTACAAACCAGAATGCCTGTCTTCTCATACCACTATTCAACTGGGAAGTTCTATATTTTTTCTGTCTCTGTTATTTAGAGTGTACATTAAAGTTAAAAAACAAAAAACAAACAAAAACACCACACAATTTTCTAAGGATTTACACATAAAAGGATGGCTTTCTTCTGCCTTCATAAATAAGACTTACGTGGATACATAATTGTTGAGTAATTTTTTCTTTTACCATTTAATGCTAGAGAACTTTTTATGCCTGCCTCATTTTTTGTTCTTTTAATGGGGAATATTTGGTAGTGTTATTTCTTTTTGCAGTTGTTCATTTTTTGCTCATTCTCATATGATAATCAGAAGTGTCTTACTTTTTGACCTTTGCCAGAATACAATGAAGTAAAACAAAACAATTTTTATTTTGCTTGGAATCAATCAGCTGGGTAGAAGGATTTTCTTCTAGCATGTCGTAAGTTACTGTTGCAAGCCTATCCAAACTCAAGAAAAGACACAGACTGCAGACAGGAGAAGTCTCAAGGAACATGCACCCAGGTTTCAAAGAGGCACCCCAACCTCATGCTGTTACTTCTCTGTCCCACATCCTTGATGTGAAGCTTCCTCCTCGGAGGTGCTCTCAAATGGCAGAGGCAATGCCTCTCTTCCATTCCCAGAGGGACCCTGTGTGGACAGCTCTCTTTCCTAGTCCACTCGCAGCAGGCTCAGGGTCAGGCTGCATCCTTCCAGTTACCACATGTTCATTCCCCCCCACATCAGTACTGGTAACTCCTGGGAGACCATGGTGTATCGCTGACCCTCACCAAGCTGATCATAAATGAGTCCCCAACTCTTACTTTGGCTTGGCTGAAGGATGCCATCATTCTTTGTGTGTCACAGTCTTCTCCTGTTAATGCTAAACTTATTTGACTTGAGTTGACAAATTTTTGTTCTTTTATGAGGTTACCCATGTTCAGGCACAAGGCAGTCATCTCCTCAGAACAGTCCACAAGTCCTGTGGTTCTGTGATCTCTTTTGGAAGCCATCTTCCATCCAATAAGGAAGGAAGGAGAAAGTGAGACAGGGAAGGAGGAAAGAAAGGGAGGAAGGAAGGAGCAAGGGAGGAAAGAAGGGAGGGAAGGAGGACGGAAGGAAGGGAAGGAGGGTTGGTACGGGAGTCAGAGGGTTCTGAAAATTAGCCAGCTACATCATTCCCAATGGAAGCAGTCAGCGGTCTGCCATTGGGCAGTGGAGGACAACACTCCTATGAACTGTCTTTTGGCACAGCAGGAATCCTTCAGACCCATCCCTCTCTGGAAAGAGGGCTCAGAAGTGAGCAAGGGCAGGGAACCAGATCAGGCCTCCTCACTCTCAGCCCTGCAACACAATTTTAAGTTTTACCTTGTGCACAGTTTTTCTGATTAAAAATTAATGGTGGGTATTTGGATATTAAAAATATAGCAGAACATTTCAGGGTAGGGCATGCTGCTCAAAAGAGCAGAGGAGAGATAAGGATTATAATTATACTTCATAACAGATTTGCTTTCTTGCGTTGGGTTTCAGTGTTATTTTCTTTGTTTCACAAAAATGTGACAAAACTATGACAGAGTTAAGAAAACGAACGGGAGGAGAGATGAGGACCGGATGTTTCCCCAGAAGCCAGCTGCCCTTTCTGTACAGCATCCTTGTATCTTTCATTTTTCTGTCTTTCTGGAAAAATTAAGTTGGATCTCCTTTTACCATTTCTTCATTTCATTTTTTCCCGTTGTAAAAAGGGCAAGAGCTTAATGTGCCACAAATGAAAGCTGCAGGGCAGCTGGACACACATGGGCAGATGCTGGAGTCTCCGGACAGCTGGCCAGGTCCTCTGCACAGTTTCCAAACTACACAGCCCGGGAAGCAGCTGGGAGCAGTGGGCAGGCGAGCGAGGACAGGCCAAAGAGTACACCGAGCTTTCTTCTAGTGATGTTTTCAAAAGGAAAGGGAATACCTGAATACCAAAATGAAGTATTCCCAGACTGATTTTTATCCTTTAACCTGGGAGGAAAAATCTTTTTCTGCCTTTTGAAAATGAGACTTAAAAAAAAAAAAAAAAAAAGGCAAAGAAATGATGAGCGGTTCATCCAAGCCGCCTAAGCAAAGTCCATTCGCTGGCAGCTTCAGCCACAGCCTCGCCAGGGAGCTTGGTAGAAGCAGTGCCCCAGGCTCCGGCACCCTCTGCTCCCTGGCCCGGATCTGCATTTTAATAGGGTGCTTGGGGGCTCCGAACTGCTGCCCATTTGGAGACACGATGCTCTTAGGCACAGATGAGGGATTCAATGGGAAATAAAAGTCCAAGCTGGTGATTCTTGGCCTTAGGTTAGAATATAACTGGGGAGCTTAAAAGCACACAGATGTCTAGTGCCCCTACACTTCAAACAGCCTCTGGGGGTGGGGCCTGGACCTAGGTGTGTTTCAAAGCACCTCAGGGGACCTCAGTATGCTGCCACAGAAGGAGACACTGCTTAAGTGACACACAGTGACAAGTGCTGTCCGCCCCTGGAGCACCTCCTCCCAGCTTGGCCCTGTAAAAAAAACATACACTTCTCTAGCAGGAGTCTCCAGTCACACAGAGGGGGCCCCCCGCCAGACTCCCTTCTCCAGTTACATGGACAAACCCCTCTTCCCAGGTGGGTATTTTCCTGGACCCCATGAGATTCTCCATACAGTATGAATCTTCAAATCTGCCGCCTGACATAAAGGACAGCCTAGCTAAGAGATTAATCACACAGAAAGAAAACTCGGGTCACCAGAACATCAGTCCACCCAACTCCTTAGTTCTATAACTAGGTGACAAGACAAAGTCAGGCTTGACGGAAGGTGCGCATGTTTGCAGTAGCTTCCTGGGAGCACCCTGCTGTGGCTAATTTCCCCACTAGCAGGCCTGGCTGTCTGGATCCTACCATGGGGAGCCTTAAGTGTTAGACTTTGGGACAACAGCTTCGAGAATGACATTTCTGTGATTTTTATCCTGAGCAGAATGTTTTTCTTGGAATGAATTTCTGGGAGGTTGAGGACACAAATCTGGCCATGGATTTGGGCACTGAAGAGCAATTTCATGAATACAGAGTAGCAGCTGTCTGGGCAGAGAGGATGCTCTGGCTGCAGTCGCCCCACGCACACCCTGGAGCTCGTGGGCACAGCCTCACCTGGTACTGCTGCCCGGTGCACAGGATGAGGTGGTCGTATGGCACAGCTCTGTCCTTGGATACCACAACGTGCTTGGCTGCCCGGTCTATGCCCGTCATTCTGCCCACCACCACGTTGACCCAGGAGCACAGTGACATCAGTGCATAATCTTTATCATTAAAACAGTGGCTGTGAAGAGAGAAGCTCCGTAAGTGACATTTGAGCAGCTGACAGCAGGCATTAATTAGACCTCTGGTGCACTGGTCCAAGTCCCCTAGTGGGCCAGGGCCATGCGCTTGCTGTGAGTTTACCGAGACTGATACTGGGAGGATTTTCGTTAGGAAACACTTAGTCACAAATTGACATCTTCCCATTAAAGCTAAATTGTTCCACCTGGCTTAGGCCAGTGCACAGTGTGAGCCTGTGTGTGTTTGTAACCACTCACACTTTCACAGTGGCTATAAATCCACTTTGGCTCTTGAATTGTCCTGCTGAAGATGGGCTCAGGAAATTAAGAAGTGGAAAGTGACATCACTGAGGACTCCTACAGGCCTAGGTCACAGCCCTAAAATATCGAGGGCCTTTCCTACTTGCTAGTACTGCCCAAAAAATATTCCTTTCTTAGAATTAAGCTATGGCTTTGTACCAGGACAGCAGAACATGTTTTATTCAGTGGTGATGTCAATTAGGGGATTGTGTTAACAGAAAGCACCGTCCCAGGGCTCAGGCGACTTACAGAGGACTAACTGATGTTAGTGCTATGACGTCAGGGAACTGGTGGCCTAGTGGCTTCCATAGACTGAGCACTCATGTGACAGGAGTGGGCTTCTCGTGGTTTAGGGTTTAGCAAAAGGTTTTTGAGGGCTATCTGTGAGGTTTTCTGGAAAGTCTGACTTATGTCTGTGACTTTCTAAGGATCCTGCATGCAGATGGAGAGCCTAAGGTGGTAGGACATGGAAGGCTTCATTCACCTCTGGTTGCAGGATCGTTCTGAGGATGTGGGTCCTGACCTTGGAACTCCGCGTCCCCCAGGTCCTCCACTTCTCTATGTGGGACAATTGGGTGGTCCTGCTGGCCCAGGCCGTGGCAAGGAATGGATTGGAGGATGCAGGAGATGCAGGTTTACAAGTGGGATGCATATAGGAAGGGTATTATTCTAAATAATATTAATGATACATAATTCTGTTTACTCTCTCTGCAGGCAAACAAGATTCTAAAGTGGTAATGGCAGGACATTTTCTCTTTTTGATCACACAGGAGTCTGGTCTCACCACACAAAGAGAATTCTAGTAATGGATGCACATTAGACCCTGTTATGGGGCTGTGAAAGAGATTGGAGCTCTCTGCTTTGTATCTTTCTGTGAAACAACACTTAAAAACAAGAAAATTTCTTCTTAATACAAAATACAAAAAAATAAAGAGAAAGAAAGAAAGAAAGAAAGAAAGAAAGAAAGAAAGAAAAGAAAATAAATCAGGGACCAGCCTGCCATGGGGAAATAATGGATAGGAAAATGAAATTCTCTTTTTAAAAGCCATTTTGATAGCTTTACAGGCGCACAGGAAACTTCACTGATTCCAGACACTCACAGGAGACACACAAAGAGGCATTCTATTTGCTATACAGTCCCTATTGAAAGCCACCCAAGACGAGCAAAAATTAAATATAGTTCGTGCTCTGGGATCAGTCTTGCAGGGATGACAGAGGCCCAAAAACAGAGGCTCTTGGGGAAATTTGGAGAAGCAACTTTTAATGGCAGTGGGACAGTAGTTGATAATGTCAGCATGCACATTTCAGAGTTAAAATTTGAAGCACGGCCCAGGGAAGCTGGAGTTTGGGAACACTGATTTTTAGGAATCTTTCCCCAGACACAATAGGAAGAGTTAGCATGGGCTGATGTTTTTATAGTCTGTCATTACACTGACTGTGACACTTCTCGGTTTAAAATGTCATTGTGAAAGTCATGTGGCACATGCCTGTAACCCTAGCATGTGGGAGGCAGAGGCAGGAGGATCACTGCAAGTTCGAGATTAGCTTGGGCAATACAATGAGCTTAAGGTCAGTGAACTGCGTAGTGAGACCCTGTCTCAAAAAGACAAAAATATATAAATAAATAATGTCATTGTGTGAGTCATTGCTATCCATTCTGAATAGTGCTACTCATCTGGACCCTTCCTAATTCCCCCTCATCATATGTGTGAAACTATCTATTAGAGGCTGTAAGTGATATTTTTCCAGAACTATTTCCTAAACAAAGTTAGTAAGTAAGCATTAAGAGTCTAATGTCATGGACTGCTTCACAGCTTGGTGACAAGAGCCATACCTCCACCAGGGTTCTCTGGAAAAGGAGGAAGCAAAGGAAGCTGCTCTCTACATCAGTGTGACTTCATTTTTCTAAGGCAAGCTTGATCTTGACTCAAAACTAGTGTAAAGAGAGTTAAAGATGCACCAGGGGTAGAGTGCTAGCTTGGAAAGGGTCTGGGGTCCCATCTTCAGTACTTCAGGGGAAATACATGAGAAGCTGTCTTTTGCCAAATTCTAGTGCTGGCTATTAGAAAAGTACAAATTAAAACAACACAGAGTCATTCTTACCCTAAAAGAATGGCCATCATCAAGAAACTCAGTAATAACAAATGCTGGTGAGGCTGTGGTGAAAAAGGAATACTTCTGCTTTGTTGGTGGGGTGTAAACTAGTAAAACCACTATGGAAATCAGTGTAGAGATTCCTCAAGAAGCTAAAAATAAAAATTCCATTTGACCCAACTATTCTACCTCTATGTATCTGCCTGTAAGAGTTAAAGACATCATATCTCTGCAATCCATGCACATTCATGTTTATAGCAGCACAATTTATAATAATTAAACCTTGGAAATGGCCTATATGTCCATTAACAGATGAATAAAGAAAGTACAGTATTTACTCACAGTGTGGTACTACTTTGCCATAAAGGACAAACTTGAGTCATATGTAGGGAAAGGGATGTACCTTGAGATAATAATGCTAACTGAAATAAGTCACACATAGCACATGGTAGGGCCCTGGCTCATAGCTCAGTGGCACAAGGCCTGCCTGGTAAGCACAAAGCCCTGAGTTTGATTCCTGGTACACTCCCCTCCAAAAAAAAAATCATATGGTTTCTCTTATATGAGAAACCTAAATTATAAATGAAGAACAAAATAGAAGACAGATAACAGGAAGCAGGAGAAGATAGATTTTTCTCAGATGGGAAGGGATCAAGCGAAGGAGGGAGGAGAAGGGACGGAGGAAGAGGGGATGAAACAGGAATGAAGGTGTGTTTTGTACACGCACCAACTCCACACAAGGAATGGGACCACTGTGTGCTGCAAACAGGTACTGGTAGGAAGGAAAGAAAACCATAACAACCCTGGAGACACTATGATGAGGAGAGGAGAGAAAGAGAACAGAAACGTAGAATGCAGAGTCCTCTGGACATCCCGTGGATGAGAGATGGCTGCTCGCTCAAGGCTGCGAGCCCAGCCGCTCAAGGCTCAGGAGACCTGGTCCCAAGACCCAGGTGCATAGTTAACAAAGCCAGCCAAATGGAGACAGCCACTCTCGGAACCAGAACGCTTCAGACCCGGGGAGGTCCCGAGAGGTCTTCAGGAGGTTAATTGTGGCACCTCTCAAAGAAGGACCATCACCATTAATTTTTCAGGGTGGAGGGGTCGGTTAATTAGCAGCTTCCTGCATCTCCTCCCTCCCACAGTTCCTGCTGGCCTCATCCTCAGCACCTCTGCCAGAGGCTGCAGAGGGACAAAAATGAAACACTGATTAAGGACAAACTCAAAATTAATCTTCAGAATGAGGAATTTCAATCATTAATTGCATTCACGGATGTCATTTGCACTTGCTAGTTCTGAGCTCCATGACCAGTGATCATTTCCTTTACTGGGGTGCAGGGCCACATCCTGGTCATGGGGCAGCCTGCAGTGTATGCGAATTAGGGCAGCACGAGGTGATCATGTGAGGCCCCTGGCTGGGGCTGGGGAAAGAGGGCTTCTGCTGGATTGGGGGAGGTAACTGTCACCCCGTCTCAGTATTTACTGCACATCTGCGATGGGCCCAGCCCTGTTCCAAGAACTGGGAACATAGCAGCGAGCAGGTGGCAAACATCACTACACCTGTCCAGTTTACAGGTGAAAGATTCAGAAATAAAGAAGTGGTTTTAAAGGGCATGTTTATAGGAGCAAGAGAAAACCAGTGCAGACTGCAGGAACTGGGGTGCGCTGGCTGCAGAGGGATGGCTGTCCTGGGGCCCTCCTGGGAAAGATGACATAGGAGAGAAAACAGCAGAGGCCAAAGGGATGTGTCTGAGGGATGTCAAGGTTGTTGATGTGACTAAGGTGGAGAAAAACAGCAAAAATAGTAAAATGTGATGTCAGGGAAGTAAGTGGGTTGGAGTAGATTTTAGCTTAGAACATTCTAGAAATTACCGGGACGATGAAAGTGTTCTGTAGCTGTACTAGTCTGGAAGCCACTGCCATCTGAACATCTGAAATGTGGCTAAGGTGACTGAGGAGCTAAATTTTTCATCTCACTGGACTGTAATGAATTTAAATTTAGGTGGCCCCAGGCGGCTTGTGGCTACTGTATTGGGTGGTGCAGCTCTGGGCCCGAAGGAGTTGGCCTGGTTTGAATCACATTACTGCAGGCTGCTCTGGTGACTGTATTGAGAATGCAGAAAGGCAGGGGCAGGAGCAAGACATCTGGTGACCCTGGTGGGCTCCCAGTCTCCTTGTGCAGCAGCACACAGCACTGAGTCCTGTGCACCTGTCTCCCATGCTGCACCCCACGTGAGGACAGACAGAAATGCTCATCTAGCTGGAGGTTAAATTCCCCTTAAGACATCTCCAAAACCAGTTTCCATCTCCAGGGATCATGTCATTCAGAAAGAGAGAAAGCGAGGGGAGGAGTGCCCTGTGTAGATCCATCCACTCCTCCTGGCCAGAGCTTCTGCTAGCTTTAACAAAAACTCCTTCAGCGAGCCTGGCTTATCGTACAGTTTTCACAGTCAGTCCAAGTTACTAAAGCCCAGAGCAATAAAATCCTGTGCTCTGGAGCACAGACAGGAGCTGACTTTGTACCCCCCGGCTCAGCCCATGTCCTTCTTACCACACTGTTATGTATGATGAGAGCCTTCCAAAACCCCTCCAAATCTACAGTCTGTAGAAGGACCAGTTGAGGATGAGCCTGACTCTGCTGCCAAGGAAGCTAAGGTTTCTCTCCTTGTTGGAAGGCACAGCAAATCGTCTCAGAGATAAGAGGGTTCCTTCATCACAGACTCTGAAGCAAACCCTACTCTCTCCCTCCAGCCGAAACAATTTCCTTCCTCTTCATTGAAAATCTGGGGGATTGTGTCTGGAGGCTGGGTGCCTAGGATTTCTGTACCTGTGTTGTGCTATAGGATGCTAAAATAGAAGCTATGTGCTGATGGCATGGTACTTCAGGCAAGAAGATCCCGGAACCAGTGTGGAAGGGCTCTGCTTCGTCAGCCCTGGGTACTGAGAGCGGGTGCACCGGACACAAATGCAGTCAGCAAGCTCCACTCCTGTGGTGTCCTGGGCACCCAAACGTGGGGTGGCAGAGTGCATCGCAGAGTGCCCCGCAGTGGTCAGGACAGTGGCTGCAGTCCTCTGGGAGGCATGCAATGGTGGCCCAAACCTGCCTCTCTGGGCTGACAGGCTCCATTTGTATTCCCACATAAAGCTCCCACTCTGGAAGAAAATTTCCTTGTGCTTCCCTTTCTGATCTGAAATCTATTATCTAAAATCAAAAAGACTCCACATCAATTAGGACATTAAGGCCTTGAAATAAAAAAGCAAATAGAATTCATACTCGCTTGCCAAAAACTTCCTTTGTTCACTCCCCAGAAGTTTCTTTCCTGGGAGTCCATGTGTTGAAATCAGGGTGAGATTATTAAATTTCAGGTGAGAGCTAAGGAGAAAGAAAAAAAGAAAAAGAACAGAGAGAGGTTAAACTTGATTCAGTAAAAGTTCATTATAATTCTAATTAACTTTATTTTACGTGTCATCTAACTGTTGGATTTTTCTTTGAAGCTAGCAACTCTTTTCACACAACCTTCAAATAGAACCACTGAAATGAAAAAAAAGAAAAGACAGCATTAAAGATGCTAATTGCAGAAAATTCCAAAGGCTTCAGACACATACTATAATGGCAAACACTGTTTAATTTTTTTAAGTTTGCTTCTCAAAGTAAAACAAAATAAAACTTACAAACTGGGAGCAGAGAAGTCAGTGTAGTATAAATTAATACAACAGTGGAAGTCAAAGGATTTTCAGGAAATGGAGCCAGGACTACTGCAGTTGGCCCCAGCTGGCTCTGTGCAGTGTTGCTTTCCTGCTTAGTCCTCAACCCAGGGCGTGAGGTTTGCAGTGTGACTGGCCACCGCTCATGAAACGAGTGCTAAAGACATGATGAATGTTTAAATTTGCAGAAGTGTGTGATGCTGACAGACGCACTGCCACGCGTCCCCACCCCGGACTTCACACCTGGCGGCAGCTCCCAAGTCCTCTTTCCTGAGTGCTTTTGATTGCACTGTCATGGTTGCCTCGGTGTCCTGAATCCATTCAGAACATTTACCTCTCAGAGTCATTTGGACTCTGGGGCAGAGCCAGAAGTCACACAGTGCCAGATCCATGACTAAGGTGGATGAGGACACAGCATCGTGTGTTTTTAGCAGCCTGCCTCTGCTGGGTGGCAGCAGCATTCACTGAATGTTTGATCATATCATTAGAGAGGATTCTCAGAGCTGCTTCAGAAAGTGGCAAGAAGTGGGATAAATGTGTTGGAACATTTTGACAGTGGAGGCGGGGAGGCAATGATAATCTGACTTTTATGGTGATACAGTTTTTAAAAACTTTAAACATTGACTGCAACTTTTGATCATTTCTGGTATCAGATGAAACTGAGGTAAAATGATTTCTGTAGAGCTCCAAAGTCTAGGCTGCCTGGCTCTCACCTAACTGTTGCCTATTTATTTTATGTTCATTCCCAAATACAGTGGTGCCATGTGTGTCCCCCTTGCACAGTCTCCCTCCTGCTCCAAATCATCTCTGTATTACCTATAACACCGAGTGCAATGCAAAGGCTGTCTCAGAAGTCATCTGTGTTGTTGAGGGAACAATTACAGAGAAAATCTGCACACACTTGGTATCGTCCTAATTCTCCCTCGAATGGTTTCCTGTTCGAGTTTGGTTGAATCTATGCTTTGAGAGCCAGCTAGAAGGACATAGATGGCAACAGAGCTCCGGAGACCACTACCACCCCCAAGCCAGCCTCAGTGCTGTCACCTCCAAACACACAGTTACCCTCAGTATCCAAGCATCAGCAGGGGAAACTCGCAAAGATTTCTCTTAAGAGCATTACATTGCCTCAGGCTCTTTAGAGCCCAAGGTACATGGGTAGCCACTGATCTTTAAGAGAATTTGTGCAGGGGTGGGTTGCAAGTTCCTGTATTTCACATGTAAGAAAATCAACACTGGGAATTGTAGGTTTGTTATTTTATTTTATTTTTTTATTTTTTTGCAGCAGGGAGGGGGAACTGGCAGCACTGGGAATTAGATTGAACCCAGGTGTTTGCACTGAGCTTTATCTCTAGCCCTTTGAAATAATTGTTTTACTTCAAGACAGGGTCTTGCAAAATTGCCAACTTGCCCAGGTAGGCTCTGTCAGTAACTTTTCTCTGGATGCTGAGATAAAATACCTGACACCCAAAGTTAAAGGAGGAAAGGTTTATTTAGTTCACAGTTTGTGGAGATTTAGTCCGTAGTCAGATGGCTCCAAGGCAAGGTGGCATGGCTGAAGGGCATCTATTCATGGTGGCAGAAGACAGCAAAAGTAACAAAAGCAAAAGGGTGGGGCATGAGAGCACACTTCTTTCCCTCCCTTTTATTGTATGCAGGATACCTGCCCTGGGTTGGGTATAGCACTAATACCCATATCCCAGTACTGGACCATGAATCAGTCACAAAGTATAGAAGCCCACCTTCATGGCTGTATGAGGCTTCGGGGGGACATCTAAACACAAACCATAACACTAGACTAGAATTTATAATCTTGCTGCCTCAGCCTCCCAGAGTAATGGGATTATAAGGCCAAAGCCACCACACCAGCTAGAAATGGTCATTTGTTCAAGGTCACAAAGTTCATAAAAGCAGGGCCAGAAATGAAATTCATGCCTTCCAGCCCGGTCCAAGCAGTACCCTCATCACCATCCCAGCCTTTCTTTTAAACCCAGCACACGAAGTACGCCTGTAGGACTCACTCTGTATCTGCCCCTCGGGGTTTAAAATACTTCTGCTTACAGTCAGCAATGTTTTATGGGTGGGAGGATGTTTTCAGGGGATTCTGGTTGGTGAGAAAGATTTTTTTTTCTAAAAATCTCTCCTTAGTTCACACATCCCTTTCCATCAACCAAATGCCAGAGTAGGAGCCTCCTTGAGCCGGAGCAGAACACCTGCCTCCTCTCCCAGGAGGAGTTGGAAGCCTTCCCAATGTGGAAATGCTATCAATTTACTGACAATCTGTTAAGTAGCACTAAAAACAGACGACTTTCGGTGATGGCTTGGGCGGGCAGTGTAATAAACCCAGCTGCACATGACCTTTAAAAATAGCTAAATATTAGGTGAGGTTTTGCTCTAAAAGTCTCCAAGGATAGGTGTCATTTAAGAATGAATATTCTTATTGGATACAAACAAGCCAAGCACATCTTCTCTGCTAATAAAAATAGAAAGTCTGGATATCTTCAAACAGCAAAAAGGTCACCATTAACCCCAGATACATGTCACTCCAGCCTCAAGTGCTTGAGAGCCAGCAGTAGGCTTTGGATTTATTACCATCTAATGGGAAGCATGAATGTGTTTATGTGCAGGGCCCTTAAAATTTCTGGTTTTGGATCCCACATGATCAAAATGTGGTTTATGTTGCACTAATAGTAGCTCCACACTGGCTCTTTTTATATTTCTGTGTGAACAGAGGGCTTAATGATCATGCAGCTATAGCTTCTATACAGAAAGCAATTCCTTTAGTATGGAATAATTTGAATTAACTAATAACATGGATCAAATGACTCATAAATTGCTAAATTACCACACTGAATTTTCCTGAATTACGCTATGGTACAATTAGAAAATTACCCAAAGAGAAGGTAGGATTTTAAAAACTCATCTTCTATAATGATACAGTACAGATTTTTTTTTTTTTTTTTGGTGGAGGGAGGCATTTGCTGAAGTTTCACATGTGAGAGACAGTTCCTTCCACTGGCCATCGTCTGCGCTTTGTGCATGCTTGGTCGGGTCCTTTACCTGTGCTTGGTTTGGCCTTTCTTGACCTCCAGCTACCATCCTGACTCCTCAGTCACTGCATCTCTTGCATCAGGAAGGGGGCACAGACTGCCTCCGGAAGCCCTGCCTTTCCCTTCTCCATGCTCAGAGTGTTCTTCCACTTCCCGCTTCCCCATCCCAGATACGCCACTTCCTCCCTAGAACCAGACACTTCATCCCATGGTGTCCAGTGATGACTCAGTGGGCTGTGGTGAGGTCCTCCAGGTCCCCGGGAGCTCTGCCCATCATATCCATGCGGGCAGGAGGAGGACTGAGAGTGTCCAAGGGAGTTCCTGAGGCCACTTGCACCAAGTAGAGTTTATCTGAGCAAAGAAAAACAAAGCAGATATGATGATTTGCCAACTAGGCAGGCAGCACCCACTGGCAGAGCTGGTTCTGAGCATCAATACCAGAAGTGAGGCCTGGAAACAGCGAGGTCAGTCAGCTGATCAGGTGGTTACAGCTTCATCATAGTTCAGTTCCTAGGACTAGACTCCTGATTGGCCAGAGTCTAGGTCCAGGGAAGGGGGCCTGTTCCCATCTCACAGGAACAAATCTCTACTAGGGGCCTTCTGCAAGCCCCCAGGACCTGTCCCAAGTGTCAGCAGACTGCAGCCACAGCCCAGATGAATCTTTTCAAACCTTCTCAGAGCACCACACCACCCTGGCTCTATGCAAGGACAAAGTGCAGAGAACACAGGGAGGCAAGTGGTGGCCCCCTCACCTCCCTGGTGCAGGAAGGGTGGGGAGGGGACAGGAGAAGGACCTTAACTCCCACAGCCAGGTGGACAGCAAGCACATGCATGTGCTGGTGGGAGACCTCAAAGGCTGGAGGTAACTCAGACAGGGAACGGCCAGATACCACTGCTGACCCTGAGCTGCAGGGACAGGATGGAGGAGATAGGAGGCCAGGCTGTGGCCCATGCACCCTCTCCCCCGGAGCTGGGTCCCTAGGACGTGTTGTGTGCTGCCTGCGACAATACTGGCAGTCTTCAGTTCGCTTGCAACCAGCCCTGCCTCCTTGTTCACCTCTCTGTCACCAAGCTCCCTCGGCAATATGCCCATGGCCCTGGTGACATCATCTGTAACCTGTACTATAGCATCCTTCAGAGGTACACATCCAATTCCCAAGAGCTCTAGCTCATCCCAATCTAAGTATGTAGATGGCAGCTTCCATCCCTCTCCTGTTTCTGCTGATGCCACAGCCAAGGAGCCACTTCTCCAGTTAGGATTTGGAAGCCCATCTCGGGCTTCCACCCTCTTTCACCTTGTTTAAGTTCCTCTTCCTCTCTTGACACTGGAGATTGAATCCAGAGGCTTTGCATTGAGATAGGTTCTCACTAAATTGATAAATTCCCCAGGCTGGGCTTGAATTTGTGACCCTCCTGCCTCAGCCTCCCCAGGGTGCTGGGATTATAGGCATGTGCCACCACACCAAACTGCTGTTGTTGCTTGCCTCTGCCTAGAAAAATAGTCTCAGGTTTAGTATTCCTGCTCCAGTCTTCTCTCTGCTCCTCTTCCACACAGCTACGGGAAACTTTTTAAATAAAATAGAATTCTCATCTTTGCTTTTACCTTGGTAAGGATCATGGG